GCAGTCACCCAGTTTCGGTGGAAGTGCGCGAGTTCGATTGGGATTAAAGTAGGAAGGGAGCGCCTCAGCTTCCTCGGACCAAGACCATTCGACCCAGCACCCCGAAGACTACAACTGGTGAAATTTTGATTTTTGCCTTAACTTCCCCTTTATTATTATTATTAGAGAGGTTCCGCATAACGTAATTATGTTTGTAAAAAACGTAGTCAATCTACGGAAAGTCTTACATAAACTGCATGCACATCTGGGTTCCGCCATACAGAGTTTTCAAATCACGTAGCTGCCCTTGGCAACTCCGAACGCGGCAGTGTACGACCAGATCGACATGGGGAGAGAGTCATAAATTCGTACCCCAGTCCACTTACGGATCAGCTACGTTATCAGAGCCCTATCTACGTACTCTTCGTAGACAACTTTCCGTAAGTGGAGTGCAAACTCGCGAATTCACGGGTTTTTCCCGGCCACTAACGTAAAGTAGCTCAACTTTACGTAGTGCGGAACTTCTCTATTATTTGCATTTCCGCGGCAATGTCAGCCGCACAATGGCAACCCACATATTCGCATATGCTGGAAATAGAATGCTCTGCCAAAAACATAAATCAAATGACATCATAATTATATATCCATTCTGTGTAATCCAGTCAAGAGGAACGTACGACGGCACAGAGTCCTCTCCACCCTGCACGGTCCCTTGCCAGGATCCGGAGGCGCTGCAAGTCACCAAGCGACACAAGCCTTCCATTATCCGTTTTCGCCAGGTCTTCCGACAGCTTCGTGACAATTGTGACACGTGGGCGTCCTCGCCAGGTCTTCTCATCGTGCGTGAAATACGCCGCCATTGCCAATGATGCTGGGGTGTCCTCTGGTAAGCGGAGAATGTGACCAAAGAGTTGCCACCGCAGACGCTTGAGAATGTTGGTGATTGGCTCAGCTTTGCACCTGGCGTACAAAGAGACATTCGTCATCTTCTGAGGCCAACTAATGCCAAGGAGTGATCGCAGTTGCTGGCGGTGGAAGAAATCGAGACTCTGCTCCAAAGCCACCGTCAAGCCCCTTCCCCTTTAATCATCCCTAACTGGTCCAGTTTGCTAAAACGCTAAATTTTGGCCGCCGCGAAAGTTTGTCGTTTTACACTTTACAGTATCCAAGACTCCAGGCGGCTATCCGTTGCGATAGGCGGTTGGAGTCACGGGTAGAGACAACCAGACGCTGGATTCCTCGGGGACGCATTCACTGCAAACTTGATGGAAACAGCGCTGGCGGCGCTCACTGGGTCCAGAATTAAAATTTTCTAAGAACTACCATGTTACCATGGTGATCAGCACGGTCAAGAGACACTACAGGTATGTCAGCTACAACATAATTATATTCTTTCTACAACGACACCTACCTTTGCCTCAATACCTGACGATCTACTGCAAGCTGATGCGAAAGTGCATTACACCCGCGAACGCCGCGCTTGTCAACGGAACAGGGAAGTGCTTCACTCTCCGAAGTTGAAAAGTATTTGGACTGCTGCTAATCGGGAGAACAAACGACCGCCACGGCGGCAGAACATTCCGCAGCTGTTCACCGACACGATCCGCTTCACCAAACGTCTTACGAACGTTTCGTTCTCCGAGTTTTCTGGTGGCAGCAACAAGAATTCCGTCCGCAACGACAGGACGAAAGTCTCTCCCAACTGAAATCCTGTTGCCACGAAGACAGAGAAGATTCCGCAAGTTATCTCTTCTGTTTCCAGTATTGTAGCTCTCCTGTCCACTGGCATATCTTTCAATCCCAGTGAACGAAAAAAAGGATCTGTTTCTCTCTCCAAAGCAACTAACTAACTTTGCTTCGCGAGTGTCCGGGCCGATCGTGTACATAGTGTATGCAGCGCATGCGGCGCACTTTCGCATGACATGACACGCATTTTTGCACACCACGTTTGTACTTCGGATTTGGCAATTTTTTTCGACGGCAATGACTTCCCTTAGGAGTTGTCTACCTACGATGTATACTTTGGAAAGCGATATTCCGTACAGAAAGTACCAAAAATCCAGGAAAAGTTGGCCTTTCGATTTCTTGGGCTGGAGGTAAAAAGTGCCTGGCATGGAGGGGTGTACAGCTCAGCTGACAGCCTGGCGGGGAGCGCCTTGTCACCTTGAGGGTTCAGCTGGCAGTGAAAGGGTTAATCAATTTTCTAGAGTACAGAATATAAGAAATCTGCAAGTAGTATTCAATTTCGCCAAACCATTACCTAGGGATAGTGATTTGAAGTGCAACAATTTCGGACTATCGCTAGAAACACAAATGAATGGGTGAAATGGGAGAATCGAGAAAATTTCAAGACGACTGCACAGTACAGTATGGTGTACAGTGCACAAGTACAAAGCCTCATCACTCGAACTGAGCGGACCGTGCGCATATGGTATTGCTTATAACTTGGTATGCTGGCGCAAAACAATTGCTCATGGAGGAAGACGAACGGGTCTCAACGCCTGGAAATGTCAAATGGCCAGAAGTTGTTCGACGCTGATGATGATGGCATAGTCTGCGGCACTGCGACCCGACCAGAACAAGCCAAAACTCATCACCTCAAAAAAACGCTTGTCGTATGGAAACGGGACTTTGGGTTTCAAACGCATGAACATCTCTTCTCTCCGACAAAGCAATACACTTGCTGAAATATTCTAGAATTTGACGTAACCACGCCGAAAAACAATGCGAAGTCGGATTCTCCCATCTGATGTATTGGAACTTGTTTTTCCACATCATCGGGGTCTGGGTTCGAGGGAGTGAAGTCACAAAGGACAATGGGTCCGTTTGACCCTATAATAGGGGATTCACACTCACGGGGAAACCTGAGGTCACGGGACAAGGTAAAAGTTCAGACCTTCGGTCAACGGAGTGGGGCCGTTCACACCCGTGGTCAGTTTTCCCTTGGCCGTATATTTGGCAATGGATTTGTGGTGGGGCAATTAAAAAATTATCTGTAACTGCATTTTTGTAGTACGTTCTGCGCACGATTTTCCGAGGGCACTGTCTGAAAATGCAGGTTGCGATGCACCCGTACAACTACGGGTTCAGAGTTCTCGCCAAAGACAAGATCTACACACGCGCATCGTATGGCGACGGGATTTTTCCCTTAACAAATGCCCTGAGGCCCACGGCCACGGCTTTGCCAATTTTTCCCGAAAGGTTCTTCCTTTCCCCCAGTACCATAGTTTCCATAACAACTTTCCCATAACCGTGGTTTTACCCGTGTGTGCGTGTGAATCCCCTATAAGGTGAACTTAAGGACTACTAGTGATAACCACAAGGGCAAGCATTGTACATGAGAAAACACAACCAGGGGCATTAATAGGCCATTCACACGACGTGTAAACACTTGCACGTGTGTGACCAAGATAACACTGGCAAACCGTGATCCAGTTCACACGGTGCTTGGCAAACTTTACGACCGTCAATGTATCCCTATTGACCTCTTGAAAATACCGGGAAATGTTAAATTTAAAAATTTCCTTTGTTCAAGCAATGCAAGTTTATTGTATCCGAGTAAATATCCTTGGAAACGGTACGATAAAAGTGAGTTTGGACGTCGTGTGAATGGCCTATAAACACCAGTGTGTATAGTGCAGTATCTGGTGAAAAACATGTTCACGGTCAACATGTGTCACTAGGGACAACAAAAACACCTACACAAGAGTGTAATAGTGATAGACATCTCATCAAGTGTACATAAAAAAGAGTGCGCAACTCTCACATCTGCTCTGTTCCATGGGGGAGTTATTCGTCCATACAATGCATGCGCAAAACATGCGATGGGCACTGGACCTTCATTGCGAGTCTCTGTTTTGCCGTCTTGAAACCAACAATTTTTCGTACCAGACGATGGCAATTGTGACGAAACGTACGTAAAAGGAATCGGTTCGGTTTGCAGTGCTGTGGGAATGGGTGTGGTAACCGAACTACTCTCTTCAAATTTCTCTCCCTGTTAACCCTCTCAGTGCCATGGGCGACTTTAGTCGCCCAGAATGAGTATGTGTGTACAAATATTTTCGTATCTCCACTTCTACACACAGGAGAGTAACAAACGAGCACTCAACGTCTCCAGGAAGACCTACTTATCACATCGGTTTGTGTCCGTGAGGATAAACGTCGCCAGAATGCAGGAAACGGACATCGCTCAGGCGCCCTCTCGAGGAAGACTATTTTCGCTGCATTTTCTCTTCACAATGGTCTGCCTGACCTTGATATCTTTCCAGAGAGCCATCGTTTGTAAAGATCTGTGGATATACAGCGGAGCTATGAAAAATTTGAGTCCAGCTCAACTCAGAAAAATTTGTATTTTTCTGACCCCCTTGGCACTGAAAGGGTTAATTAATTAGCTTGTTATCAAACCCATAGCACATTTCAATGAAACCCATCCAAGCCACTCACGTGCCCACAGACTCATAGTTTCTGCCTTGCACAGTATTACAGTCAGACCTCGCATAACCGCACACATCCGTTTTCCACAAAAATATCCGGATAGTCAAGGAAACCGGATAATCAAACACGCACACTGTATGTATGCATGACATATGCTGTAAATCGGTAACCAGCGATTTTCTTCCGGATGTCCAGGGATCCAGAGTGTGCAACTGGAATGGGGTTGTGGGACGGTGTAATCCGTGATGTACGTCATTTTTTGGGTCAGACTTCCTCATTCCATCGCGGCGGTGCACCACGTCCACACTTCCCCTACTTATGATGTCATTATTATGACGTGCAACACGGATTTCGCGTCCCAGATCTGATAAGTGAACTTGCGCACTCTGGGGGGTTATGTAATCTTGATCTCATGGACAGCTATACAAATGTAGGACATGGTGGTGGTAGGTGCACCTCACGTGACTCACGTGACACCTAATCACTGCATAGTTCAACCAATCAAATGAACGACACGCTGTAATGAATACTGTATACACACAGTACATCTAAATTCAGTCACTCACAGTCAAGTCTATTCAACATACCTTTGCACTCTCGTGCTCCACCAGCAACTGCACACATCCCTCATGCTTCCTTTCCCTGGCTACGTCCAACGCTGTTTTCCCTTCCTGAGTAACTCAACAACACATCACAGGGACAACAGAAAAAAATATTCGTGAAAATTCGAATTTTACAAAAACGAAAACACAACGAAGGGCAAGGACATAATCTACAATTATCGCCCCTCCCCCCGAGACACACACATCATAGCACCATAGAATGGGGTTGCATTTTTGTTGTTTTTGCCATGTGATTAAGCAATCACGAGTGAAACGAGGGTTGCCTGCTGCTCCTCGTTGCTAGTCTTGAAGAAGAAAAAAAATCACGCCCATCTGCTGCTGCTGCTAGCTGCCAATATTGATGCTGTCCCTGCGTTCGCCACCTCCAACTGCTGAGGTGCCTCGTGCTGTGGCACTACCACACCTTGGTCCGCCCTGCGTTGATCCGGCCTCGTACTCTCGTACTCTGCTCATGCTGCCGTACTCTCGCGTTGTGGCCTCGTGGGTACGTCTTACGCTATTTGCGCTTGCCACGTGCTTATGTGGCCCGCCTTACCTGGTGGGCTCTCGCACCTTTTTTCCCATATAAGCATGGTGGTGTCTGTCATTGTGGGCCGGGCGGCATCCGGGGACTTCGCCTCTTCCATACGTGGTATGTTTGCTCCGCCACACCGCCTGTTCTATCTTGCGTACTCGGTTAGTACTGTACCTTGGCTGAGGCTTAGTACGCGCGCTGGAGTCCTTTCGTGCCATAAAAGGAACTGCTTCCTAATATAGAGATTAGGCGCCATGAGCCCTGCTTGTAGTAAACATTGCATTAGTAGCGCTGATACCTTTATGCAAATATGGGGTAGTCTCGCCCGCGCATATGGGCGTACTCGTACTGCGGCCTGGGCTTTCCCCAGTACGGCTGCCCGCCATTGCATGCCAGACACCCCCATTGTTGCGCGCCTAGCCACGCGCGTGGCTTTTGCCTGCTGCTCGGTTGTCAGCGATAACTACGGTTTGCTGTACGCTGCAAACCTACATTTATCGCCCCTCCCCCCGAGACACACACATCATAGCACCATAGAATGGGGTTGCATTTTTGTTGTTTTTGCCATGTGATTAAGCAATCACGAGTGAAACGAGGGTTGCCTGCTGCTCCTCCAAAAATAGGCTTTTGCATCGGTCCTGGGTGCCGTGTTTCCATGCCACCCAGCTAGTGGGAGGGCAAGCCTGCCGATGTGTGGATGTACCGCTTGTACGCTGAGCTGCGCCAACGTCCGGCTGCCTGCCGCTGCCGCTCTGGTGCCCGTTGTGCTGCCAACTCGGTGGCACCGCCCTTGCGCAGGGAGTGGCTACCGACCTCGGGGCGCAAAGCTCTCAGCAGTAGGTTGATGTCCTTCTGTGAGCTGCTTGCCATTGCCGTGGACAAAGAAGGGTGCCCCGGCGTTTGGCCACCGTCGCCTGGATCCGTATGCCATGACGGCCTCTACGGGACACAGCTCTTTGTTGGCTGCCGCTTAAAGCAACGCTGTGCCGCCTCCGCCGAACTGCGAGGTGTTGGTGGGACCAAGCTTGATTACCACCTTTGTCTGCGCTATCTGGACCTAAGCCACGGTCAGGGTGTTGAAATTGAGTCCTTCGTCCGTTGACATTGAGGCATATACACCTACGCACAGCAGCCCGTAAAATGCCGTCAACAGTACTGCCCATATCATTGCTTTATCGCTTGCCGAGTGGGCGGACGTACCCACTTGCGCTTTTATGGTTAGCAGATCTGACGGTGCAACTGGTAGGCGCTGCCGGCCCGCATGGTTGCCTGCCTCCGACCTCCGTGTGTCAAATTGCGTTCGCTCGATGCCTTTCAATACGGCAAGGAGGCGTTGTGAGCGCAGTCCCTCTACGGACATGCCTTGCGATAGCAGGTGAAACCTTATCGCAGCCAAGTATACCTTTAAAAGTGTTGCCTGCAGGCACTAACTCTGAAAGTGAGGTACCAAAGCGCACAATCTCTTCGTTGTTCGGCTGAGCCGGGTTGAAGCCAACCGCTGACGCGGATTTCAAGTATGCTTTAATGCCTGGCTGGTATGTCTTACGTGTGCTGGGCGCGACCGACAATGCTACCAGGGTGTTGGCATCACGAGACAACTCAGGCTTCCCAACATCGCCTGTGCAGACCAAACGCATCTGCGAAAAAGTGGATGTTGTACGTGTGTCCTGCCTTTTCTTGACCTCTCATCCTGCTCGGACATGCCCTTACTCTAGGCCAAGCAACCTCCAAAAATAGTAGTGGGGATCTCCCTTAGGAGAGCTAATGCTATGCCTTGACCATATGTTCCTTGGTTCGCTTGACCGGCATGGGATGCCGCATAGGCTCTGTGCGTCGCAATTCTGCCCCGCTTGGGTATACAGTCGCATTGCCATGAGCCTTATGGGACCCGCGCATGCAGGCTGCGCGACATGCCATGCTTGGCTGCGCTGTTGAGGTTTGTCAAGCGGTCTGTGGCATGCACCAACTCCGCTGTACGCCATGCTAGTCCCGCGCGGGATGATTATAGACTTTAATATACTGTACGCACAGCGGCGTCTAATTTGCCTTCTATAATGTATGCTTATGTATTATTATAATTACTGGCAACGCCCGTGCCCTTTGGCAACTGCATAAGGCAACGCCGCATACGCCCTGCGCGCCGCAATGCTGCCCCGCATGGGTATACATATTGCTATGCGCCTTATGGGACCCGCGCGCGCGGTCTACCTTAGAAGCCGTGCTTGGCTGAGCTGCTTAAGTTTGTCAAGCGGTCTGTGGCGCGCGCCAGGTCTGCTGTATGCCATGCTAGTCCCGCGCGGGATAAATAATTATAGACTTTTTAAATACATTGCGCGCACTGCGGCATCTAAATAGCCTTCTATAATATATGCTTAAAGCATGTATTGTTATAATTTCTGGCAACGCCCGTGCCCTTTGCCAAGCACATAAGGCAACGCCGCATATGCCCTGCGCGCCGCAATGCTGCCCCGCATGGGTATACATATTGCTATACGCCTTATGGGACCCGCGCGCGCGGTCTACCTGAGAAGCCGTGCTTGGCTGAGCTGCTAAAGTTTGTCAAGCGGTCTGTGGCGCGCGCCAGGTCTGCTGTATGCCATGCTAGTCCCGCGCGGGATGAATATATACTTTTTAGAATGCATTGCGCGCACTGCGGCATCTAAATAGCCTTCTATAATGTATGCTTTATGTATTATTAAATTTCTGGCAACGCCCGTGCCATTTGCCAATCATATGCGGCGTTGCCTTATTAAGGCAACGCCGCATATGCCCTGCGCGCCACAATGCTGCCCCGCATGGGTATACATAATTATTGCTATGCGCCTTATGGGATCCGCGCGCGCGGTCTACCTGAGAAGCCGTGCTTGGCTGAGCTGCTAGTTTGTCAAGTGGTCTGTGGCGCGCGCCAGGTCCGCTGTATACCATGCTAGTCCCGCGCAGGATGAATATAGGCATTTTTAGAATACATTGCGCGCGCTGCGGCATCTAAATAGCCTTCTATAATGTATGCTTTATGTATTATTAAATTTCTAGCAACGCCCGTGCCCTTTGCCAAGCACATAAGGCAACGCCGCATATGCCCTGCGCGCCGCAATGCTGCCCCGCATGGGTATACATAATTATTGCTATGCGCCTTATGGGACCCGAGATGCCGTGCCTGGCTGAGCTGCTAAAGTTTGTCAAGCGGTCTGTGGCACGCGCCAAGTCCGCTGTACGCCATGCTAGTCCCGCGCGGGATGAATATAAGCTTTTTAAAATACAGTGCACGCGCTGCGGCGTCTAAGTAGCCTTCCATAATATATGCTTATGTATAATTGGAAGAGTCCCCCAACGCCTAGCATGTTAGGTTATCTCTGCTTATAAAATTGCACATAATCATCAAGGCAACGCCCGTGCCCTTTGCCAACCTCCTGCCACGGCCGTGATGATAATTTATAGCTGGGCTTTACCCGCCGCCCTGAGGCTGACCCTCGCGCTAAGTGTTAGCCCGGATGCCCGCATTGCCTGTGTGTCAGCCTATGCTGAACCAGTGGTGACGCAATATACATGCAAGCCGGTACATGCAAAAAGCGGAATGAAGACAGTCTGCCAGCCCTGGCATGCGCTTGCCAGGGAACCCTGGAGGTGCGGTTTTGCGTGCGTGTTATTCATTGATGAAATCGTCTAAATAATGCTCAAAGTTCTCAACAGCGCGGGTTTCGCGTCAGATCCGCACCAGTGCATCAGCAAAACGATTAAAAAAATAAGGGTGACGACCGCAAGCCAAAAGGTCAGAATAATTATTTGTCTCGCCAACACGTGCCAAATCTTGGTCGATAAAGTCATTAACGCTATTCCCAGCAAGGGGCAGACCATGCATAATTAATCGGTGGCCGCCGTCTTTTTTTGGTACTACACCCGTACCAGACGTGCGCAAAGGTAAGAAAGGTGGCGTGTCAAAAGCGTCTCTAGTGTGCTTAAAAGTTTGCATTCCTTAGCTAAATAGGCATCTACAATAGCTAGATCTATGGATGCAGAGGCAAGATTACTAGAAGCAACTGAAGTGCGCGATCGCCTGCAAACTCGATGCGGCAGCAAAAACGCAGATTGAACCAGATAGTTTCCACTAAGACCCGATCAGGGTGGCCAGCAAGCTCTACACTAACTGCATCAAAATTCATTGGTTTGGAGACTGAGTTTTAACTTAAAGAATTAGCAGATGTGGACATAGCGTTCTCGCGAACTAATGACGGCTGTACAGGCGTGTGATGAGGCTTTTCAGGCCGAAGCGCGGGTGGGACACTCCATTGCTTGGTGTGTTCCCTTGCAGAACATGCACCTGAGCTGGTAGCTGCAATTTGAAAAGGTGCAGTTCCCTTTATTAAACATTTTGCAGATCGGCTTTCCGCTGGGCCCAGAGGTGGAGGCACGAAAAGGCGCGTTCAGTGAAGGCTTCGCTACACATGCCACG